CAGATAGCCCTCGTGTAGCTTTGCGCGAAATTCAAAAACAAACAATTTTCATTCATAAGTTCTTAAATATACATATATTTTTCCGACTAGAAAAAACAGAGATATAAGATTTTATAACTTAGCTCTAAAAAATCCGAAATCTTAAAACTCTATGTAACAGTCTTGTAAATGTATAAGGGGTGAAGGGGATTCTTACCCCGTCTCCCATCGCGATTTGTGCTTATTTTTCACTTCACACAAATTTGTATTCAGTTTACAGCTCTAAAGAAACATACTACAGATCAATAAGTCGTTTTACATTGTCACATGTGAAAAAGAAAATAAGACTATGGCAGGATTTATTTGTTATAAACACGGCATTAACGTTACACTTGTCACACATTATCTATGCAGAAAACTCAACTACGTATATTCTCACATTTCATCTACCATTTTAAAAGCTTTTAAGAAATCAGACTAAGGTTAGAAAAGTAAATTAGATAAGCAAAATTTACAAAAGAAAAAAATACGAGAACATTGTGTTTTTTTTTTATTGTACCTTTAGAAAATACCAATTTCTATCATTATGTGTCCTCAGACACAATATATAACTTAACTTCAGGTTCGATCTTTAAGACACACAATATTCTTCACAATGTGATGACGTAACGGCAATCCTTATCAAATATATATAATTGTCTCCCTAACCTTTTCGTTTTTATTCGTACTTCATAACCAAATAACAACGTTAAAGAAAAATATTACTAATTATGCTTGTTGTTCATAGATGGTAGTAGTTGCCCAGTAGACAGTGAATTAACGCAGTATGTTGCAGATATTTGAGTGACTGTGTTGCCGGTAGGTGTAAGAAACGGTGAAGGCCTACACGTCGGGGTGCTGCAGTGGTGAAGCAAATTTTAGTTGTGTTAAATTAAATTGTAAAGTTCAAATTATTATTGTTTGTAATTTACTAAGGCAGTCACATGCTCAATTCTGTATGGAATCTTTGTCGTGCTTGTCCTATGCCGACAGATGAGAAACAAGTAAGTAGGCTTACTTCAGACTTTCTCATAGATATTATAGTTATATGGTATTTTTAGTAACATGGAAATGCACAAGAAATTAAGTTGGAATTTTTACCGGAAGATATTAACTTCAATTTTATATTCCATTCCTTTTCTTATGAAATAAGTGATTTTACACTACAGTAATCCAAAAACATTTCTCTATTTCTTATGTACTACTAAAATACGTGATGAAAAGTAAAACGAATAGGTATTATTCTTACTTTCTGGTAAATTGCCTCAGGTCGGGAAGCATCTGCAGTTTAAGTATGGATTAATTTCAATGATAACAAATAATGCATACTGTCGTTACAGTTTATAGGATGTAACGTTCGTTTTGTGCTTATTATTAAGAAAATAAAACTAAAAGTAAGGTGGAATTTGATTGTCTTCATTCAGTTTTAATTAATTGACAATTATTTTTAATTACTTAGTTACTCACATCTTAAACCATCAGCACCACCACATGGAGTTGATAATAAAACTCAGCATGTATATATATATATATATATATAATCGGAATGAGAATAAATATAAAAGTTAGGAAGCCGTTTCAATGCGGTGAATTGTTATGACGTCATAAAAGCTCTGAGATTGTAGTTCTCACATGAGGTTTATTTGTGATTACTAATAGGTAAGGTATAAATTATTTTCAAACCGTATAAAGAGCTCTACCTAGCAATTGATATTTTTAAATCACAAGTTATTTGCATTATTGTTAATGTTTATAATTAAGTGATAAATAAAAAAGTTAATATTTAAATTTTTCTTACTTTTTAATTCCATTGATTGGTTCAAGAGTAAGTATATGTAATGATTTACTCAAACTTTTACGCTAATCGAAGAACTTTTTAGGCGTTAGTGTTTAATTAAGTTAGATTACAGTAATGTGCTTGTTTAATACTTTAACGTAACAAATTTTCACCACAAAAACGCTGCAATTACTGCCTGCTCTGCCATTATTAGCGAAGTACATTTTTTATTTCTTCACCAAAAACTGTAAATATTATAGCTATATAAAAGATATTCATAATAATTCGGATAAGTAAATTAGTATTTTTTGCATCCTTTACAGTCGTATACAGAGTATAAACGAAGTTTCACGTGGCATCCAAATCCAGAAGATGTGGTTCAAAAACCACCTGAGAGCGGTGAGTTTGTGATTTTTAACATTTTTGTTACGTTTGAGACCTGCGTTGATTGTTGTAAAATACAGTCAGCGTGATAACACTAAAACAATAGTAAACTTATTGTGTTAAGATTTCGTAATTAATGAAGTATAACAAGACTTTTCAAAACGTTTGCAGTAATTTATGTATACTCAGGTTCCACTGTTTGTTGTTAAACAGAAGATGCAAAATGGGCCGTCTTTTCCTAGTTAAGGGTTCGATCCCGAAGTTTTAGCGTTATAAGCTCCCAAGCTTACCGCTGAATTAAAATATAAAGTTGATGTTTAAGTATGACATAAAGATATGTCCATAATAAAAATATTTATCAGATTGAAAATACTAAATATATGTTTATTTTAAATACGGACAATTTTAAAGTGTCAGAGGTGATTCTTGATAATAAATTCAATCGAGTTTTAGTGCGATTTTCTTCGTTTTACTTTTTCAAGAGTTTAATGTTCTGCATTAGAAAAAAAAAACTATTTTATCTTGTTAGTATTATAGTATAAGCAATGACTTTTCAGAAATAGTAACTCTACTATTTATGTTATTATTATTATACTATGACAAACTGATATGCATAATTTTGTTTATTTATTGAAACAAAAACTTATAAAATATACAGTATAGATATTGCGTTTGACCGAGTGTTTGACCGAGATAAATATTCGAGATGTCTTAGATTAACACACATTAACCAGAGGTTTATTTATTTTTTCAATGTTACCCCAAAGTTCGGAACTTTATTTTTTTCCGGTAACGATAGTGAACCACGAAACCTCAAATGCATAGCTCAGAATGATAACCACTGGGCTGCGCTAGGCATGTAGCCAAACAAATGACTCATATTTTGATTAAATTACAATTCATAAACTGAAATTATTTCTTACTAGTTGGTCATATTTTAAGCTAGATAAAACATTAATAAAAACCATTTATTATAAAAAATGTAAATTAACTAGTGAATTTTTATTCAAAATTTGTGCATGAAAATTGAAGTTGTTTAAAATGTAAAATCATTTGAAACTTTAACTTACTCTATAAGTAAGTAATATCTACTCGGAAAACACACAATGAACGGCTTTATTTTTTATAAGGTATTGAAAGCCTTTAATATGCAGATATTCTTTTAAAAGTTAAAATGAAGCATTTATTAAGTACTGGAAGAAAAAACTGTATGAATTAAAACTGAATTTTACCTCTCAATTTGAAATTGTTTTGAAAAAACAATGATTGATAGGATAACATATGAACTGGAAAACAATATTGATTTTGTACTTCGCTTAGTAGAATTTAAAGCAATAAGGATTCTTGCCCGAAGCCATTCAATACTTATTGTGCTGATAGATACTTTTGTCAGTAAACGGAAGTAATTTAAAGGCACAAACATCGGCTTAGTCTTTGATGCAATTGAACGGATTATGTTGAAAGACTCACTCTAGTGTCCAAATTTCTAATCGTATTACAAATAAAAACGCAATATTATAAAAAAACAAATAAACATTAAAGAAGTGAATAGCTTATATTTCATTTGCAGAAAAAGTTTAAACTAGCACTTGTAATTTCCAATAGAAGTGTTAATAGTGGTATATAATAATGTATAGGTGCCGTGGAATATAATAAAGCATCACATACAGCTAATATTTTATAATTACATCATTATTTACTGGCCACATCAGGTTATCTAGTAAAATGGGCATATACTAGTAGTATTAAACGCTATGGATGTATAATAGTTTTATGTTCTATTATGCATGATGTCCTGTAAACTACTGGCATAATATAAATATCGTTTCAGCTAAGATTGTACCATGTATATAAATAACTCAGCCGGCCTATTACTAATAATATTAGGATCTGGTCTGCTGAGTTGTACGACTACAAACGTAGTGAAACTTCTATTATACTTCTTCTTATTCAAAATATCTATTAAAGCAGTAAAAATGATTTTATGAACATTATTATAAGCCCTTATATTATAATAATATCGCATTGTTTATTAAAATACTATGCCTTACTTGGTTAAGCGGTTTTCAAACTGTAATTCAGTTTCTTATGTCATGATAGATTTTCGGTGATGAAAACGACTTCCAATCTTCTTGGCCCTACAATATTTGTAATAAAAAATAAACTGAATTGCAAATTAAATAAAAGTAAGAGCTGAAAGCAGCTAAATTAGTGCTAGTAGTAGTATGCAGAAGACAATCAAGATATGACTCATAAACACAGACTAGCGCACACAACGATTTTATATCCCGTATTCTCTTGTCACGTGATAAAAACTTGACGTAATCACACTTGTTCATTATACTATTAAACTGCTTTAACTCGTAAATGTACCATTGAGGAAAGTAGATCAGAATTGTTTAAACTGAATCGTAGCAGAGATTGAGAAACGGTATATAAGTTTAAAATATGTAATGGTACTTAGGATTTTCGAAAATAGTCTATTATACATCAGTATAAATTTTGTATTTGCAAGGTTGGAAAGTTATCTGAGAGAAAGGTGTTGAGTCATATAACGTTCACCGGCGTTACCAATCTGTAAACTGTGGAGCAACAAAGTGGTCGGGAGTACTATATAAGTATATCTGTACTATAGAGTATGGTATAGGCTTACGTCCAAGAGTATTTTATAGGTTTCGTGCAAAACAGTTTCTTGCTAATTATGTAACTAAGAACTTGTATAACCACTTTTATAAGTGCTGAACTAATTTATTGGAGTAAAACTAAAATATTTATTTACACTCACTTAAAAAAAGGCACAGTTACACTTACTGTGACTTCTAAGTTCTACTTCTAACTTCTTGTTCGAAATATTGAAATATATATATATATACACTATATAACTGTGCCTTTAGTCTGTGAAAGAGTTCTTATGGAATTGTTTGGTATTGTCTTATGACAATTAAAATAGTAACCATTCTTTGCAGGCTTGTAAAAGGCGTAAACACCAAAATAGGCTGATAATATCTTATTCAATGAACTAACACCCAAGGAATACTATAAAATAACTTGGGTACAGATACTATTCGTAATGATAAATATTCATGTACATTCCACAATTGTGTTGTTGTACTTAGGTTTATTTTGGCTACTTTGTACTCATTGAGCAACCCAACTAATTATTTTTGCTCTGAGGATAAGACGCTCGGAACAAAAAGTAAACCCTGTGAGTTTGACTAGGGCCCCGAGGGTCAAGACTGGACAAGTACATTTATATACTTTTTATATTGGTTTGTAAGTTCTGTACAATCTTACTAACATTAATTAAGTGATAGAGAATTAATATTTTTAGAATATTTTTTTGTTTATTAGCTGTCTATCATTCAATAGAATAAAGTTTGTGTGATAATAATGTAATTTTAAACTAATACATGTATATTTATAATCGAAGTGAAGACAAGCATATTGCTCTTGTCTTATACAATATATTTCTTCATGGAAAATGTTTGAGGTGATTTATGGGTAATGTTCAGAATGTACCGTATTTTTCGGAACATGAGAC